TAGTCATTTGCACGAATATTCTTTCCGACTTTTTGGTTACTCCAGGTATTTCTCTAATCTAATCTCTAAGATTTTGACATTTTCAGTGACTTTTTTGGGAGCAGGGGCGCAGTTTGACACCACTTTAACGGCCATGAACTCTATGCTGTTGGATTCTGAGAATCGTACTTTGGTGAGGCAGAAGTTTGAAGACCTTATAAAACTACAACTCCCAGAACTCCATATCACTGAGCAGTTAAAGTGGTGTCAATGTCAAACTGCATTGTTTCTACCCACCTTCTCCAAAGTGGACGAACACTTGAGAACCGCCCTGCAGTAAAGTAACTGGGTTGTTGTGAGTTTTTCGGGTTCCAGAAGCATTCTCTTCTGACGTTTCGCCTGCATCTATGGCAGGCATTCTCAAAGGTTGTGAGGTCTGTTGGAAACTAGGAAAATGCGATTTATATGTCTGTGGAATGTCCAGGGTGGGAGAAAGAAGTCTTGTCTGCTTGAGGTAGGTGGGAATGTTGCAACTGGCCACCTTGATTAGCATTTAATGCCCTAGCAGTTTCAAGGTCTGGCTTCTTACTGCTTTTGGAGAATTTGGAGAAATCTCTGAAAATGATCTTTGCTTCAGAAAGAAAGAAAGCTGGTCCCATTGTTGGCAGAGATGGAATAGAGTCTCCATCTCTGGAGGAAACTAGGCAAATAATAATAATAATAATAATAATAATAATAATAATAATAATAATAATAGTAATGTTTTATTTATACCCTGCCACCATCTCCCCAAGGGGACTCTGGGCGGCTTACATGAGCCCAAGCCCAGCAGTACAGTAAAATATAACACAAGAAACACAACACAAGAAAAATTTAAAAATAAAATAAAAAAATACAAAAACCAATATAAATAAGCAGAACAAACAATATAAAGTCAAAACATGAAAAGACAGAAAGTGGGGTTTACATATCTGTGGCATGTCCAGGGTGGGAGAAACATTTCACAGATATATAAACCCAATTTTCCTAGTTTCCAATAGACCTCACAACTTCTGAGGATGCCTTCCATAGATGCAGGCGAAACGTCAGGAGAGAATGCTTCTGGAACATGAAATAGGAGGGAAGGAGTGGAGTCGATTAGAAAAAAAAACTCTCATCCTAAAATGATTTAATTAGGACCAAAGTAAATATGAAGCTGGGCTGCTCTGAGTTTTCCTCCACGTTCCAGAAGCATTCTCTCCTGACGTTTCGCCCACATCTATGGCAGGCATCCTTGAGGTTGTGAGGTCTGTTCGAAACTAGGAAAATTGGGTTTATACATCCGTGGAATGTTCAGGGTGGGAGAAATAACTCTTATGTGCTTGAGGATGCCTGCCATAAATGTGGGCGAAACGTCAGGAGAGAATGCTTCTGGAACATGGCCATGCAGCCCGGAAAACGCACGACAACCCAGTGATTCCGTCTATGAAAGCCTTCGATAATACAGTAAAGTAACTAACTTTCCCAAACTCCGAGAAGGTTGTTTTTCTTGCCCGCCGTCGGGCTATCCCTGGTTTTCTTTCCTTTCTTTTTTTAGGCAATTCATTTTATGAGCTGGTAGGCTATATTTCCGAGGAAGGAGCTGGCAAAACCACTCCTGCCTAAGGAAAAAACTATTAAATTCATGGGGTCGCCATAAATTGACAGGCAGGCAATTGGAAGGCGCGCACACAAACACACACACGGGTTCTCCCCTCTCCAATCTTTCTTAAAGGCAACCCAAGTTTCATTTTGAACTCCTTCGGATATAGTGTGGTTTGGACGCAGATTAGGACAACCATATTAAGAAATAACCTGAAAATATATGGGATTTCTCCAGGGCGGATTGGAAATACCGGCAAACGCCGGCTTCTCTCATTTCCGAGGCCAGCTCCGTGGTTAATTAATCTAAATCGCAGCTGGATTATTTTGGGTGAGGTGGATTTTGGTGATGGAAATTTAATGTTTAGAATTAAATTGAGTTCAATGCCACTTATACAGCCGTGGGTCAATAATAGGGGAATGTAGGGATTTGTAGTTTAATGAGCCGCCAGCGGGCATGGTTCAAGACCTTGTCAAACTACATCTCCCATGGTTGCATGCATAGCATTAAGCCATGGCAACTAAAGTGCTGTCAAACTGCATTCATTCTGTGCTTTCCCAAAGAAACCACATTTGAAGTGTTTGGGAAGTCTATGTTTTGATTGCAACTCCGACCCTATAGGTCGAAGATTGTGGGAGATGTTGTTTATATCCTCCAAACGTTCCCTGATTTTAGGAATAATAATAATAATAATAATAATTTATATATTAATATTAGGTAAAGGTAAAAGTTTTCCCCTGACATTAAGTCTAATCTTGTCCAACTCTGGGGTGTGGTGCTCATCTCCATGTCTAATCCGAAGAGCCGGCGTTGTCCATAGACACCTCCAAGGTCATGTTGCCGGCATGACTGCATGGAGCGCCCTTACCTTCCCGCCAGAGCGGTACCTATTGATCTACTCACATTTGCATGTTTTCGAACTGCTAGGTTGGCAGAAGCTGGGGCTGACAGCGGAAGCTCACGCTGCTCCCCGGATTCGAACCTGCGACCTTTCGGTCAACAGCAGCTTATCGCTTTAACCCACTGCGCCACCGGAGGCTCCCATTTTAATATTATTGCGGATATATGCAAAGACTCTGGCACAAGCCAGCAAAGGCAGTCCCAGTGGTGATAGGCATACTGGGTGCAGTCCCTAAAGACCTTGGCCTGCACTTAAAAACCATCCACGCTGACAAAATTACTATCTGCCAGCTGCAAAAGGCCACCCTACTGGGATTTGCAGGCATTATTCGCCATACATCACGCAGTCCTAGACTGGGAAGTGTCTGAGTGTGATCAAATACAAACGTCAGCATAGTGATCTTGTTTGCTGTGTAATAATCTTCTTTATTATTATTATTATTACTATTATTATGTTTATACTTTTATTTGTTACTACCCTCTCCTCAGGGCTTGAGGCGGGGTAAAAGTTTGAACTGCATTATATGGTCAGTGTAGACCCATTTAATTTAATTTAATGTGAAAAAATCCTACCCCACTACAAACATAGATAAAACATAAGCGTTAAAATATAGGGTGAGACAAAAGTCACACACACATATATTTTGCTTTTAGACTGGATCGTCACTGTCCTATATCCCAGAATCTGATTCCAGAATATCTGCTTTGAATTGGATTATATGAGTCTCCACTGCCATATAATCTGGGTTAAGAAGAATCGGGGATCAGATCCTGGGATGTAGGGCCTTAGGTTGGAGCTACACTATCATATAATCCAGATTATCAAATCAGATCATCCACATTTTCTGCATGGAACCGGATTATATGAGTCCACACGGTCATGCAATCCAGTTCAAAGCAGATGATCTGGGATTTATATGGCCCTGTAGATCCAGCTTTAGTTTACAATACCATAGCATCATATGTCTTATAGAGGGTAGGTCAAAAAGTTTTGCCTCCTGTGTCATAAAAACGTTATGAATTAACCTGTATCAGCAGAAGTTGCTCCACATCACAGCCTGAACTGTCCTCTACATAGAACAACCCTTCAATATAGTCACCATCAATGTGTACCCATTTGCAGTATGGTTTAACCCAGGCTTCAAGGCCATTTTGCAAAAATTCAGGGTTTTACTTCCTGACCCAGTTGTCTTTCAGAATTCCAAACAGGTAAAAGTCTATTCAAACTACAAGAAAGGAGATTCCATCTGAACATTAGGAAGAACTTCCTGACCGTGAGAGCTGTTCAGCAGTGGAACTCTCTGCCCCGGAGTGTGGTGGAGGCTTCTTCTTTGAAGGCTTATAAACAGAGGCTGGATGGCCATCTGTCGGGGGTGCTTTGAATGCAATTTTCCTGCTTCTTGGCAGGGGGTTGGACTGGGTGGCCCGCGAGGTCTCTTCCAACTCTGTGATTCTATGATTCCTATAGACATTCTTCTTGCGATGGTGGATTCTCTTAGGTGCACAACCTTCAATGAAGACTTTCTTTTAGCTTCAGATTCATGGCTCTAATAGTCAATATGAAAAAGAAATGACTATATAAGTAGAGTAATGTTACCTCTATTATATCATGCATAGATAGCCCAGTAGCTATGAAAGAACTAATGGAGGCATTACTTTTTGACCCACCCTGACGTCCAATATCATAGCATTATATACAGTATATATAGGGACCCCGAGCCTATCCATGTACGGGGGAGGGGGGGGGGTGATTTAAATGAAATTTTCCTGCTTCTTAGCAGGGGGTTGGACTGGATGGCCCATGAGGTCTCTTCCAACTCTGTGATTCTATGATTTCTATAGACATTCTTCATGCGAGGATAGATTTCCTTAGGTGCACGACCTTCTTTTGCCAGAAATTTATTATTTATTTATTTATTTACTGCTCTTATATACCGCAATTCTCAGCCAATTCTCAGCCCAAGGGCCCAATTCAATGATGACTCTTTCTTTTAGCTTCAGATTCATTGATCTAATAGTCAATATGAAAAAGAAATGACTATATAAGTAGAGTAAGGTTACCTCTATCATATCATGCATAGATAGTCCAGTAGCTGTGGAAGAACTAAAAGTTAGAGCGGCTGTGGAAGAACTAAAAGTTAGAGCGATGGAGGCATTACATTTTGACCCACCCTGACGTCCAATATCATAGCGTTATATACAGTATGTATAGGGACCTCGAGCCTATCCATGTACTGAAAGACATAGAACATAGAACACCTCACTACCTCTGAGGATGCTTGCCATAGATGCAGGAGAAACGTCAGGAGAAAATGCCTCTAGAACATGGCCCTATAGCCCGAAAAAAACCCCACAAGAACCTATAGAACAAAGATGCTTTTCTCTCCAAAGGTGAGTGAGTCGTGGGCTCCGTCTCCCAGGCCTTTCCATAACGTTGCCTTTCCACGGGCGCTTTTCTCTTTCTCCCTCCCTCTGTCCATCCCTTTTGGGTCTCCTCCAGGCTACGAAGGGACGGGCTCGGTCCTGATGTCCCCGGTCCCGCACCAGATGTTGCCCTACATGAACGTGGGCACCTTGTCCCGGACTGAGTTGCAGTTACTGAACCAGCTTCACTGCCGGAGGAAAAGGAGGCACCGGACCATCTTCACCGACGAGCAGCTGGAGGCCCTGGAGAACCTCTTCCAGGAGACCAAATACCCCGACGTGGGCACCAGGGAGCAGCTGGCCAGGAGGGTCCACCTCCGGGAGGAGAAAGTGGAGGTGAGAGGAAGGGGAGATGGGCCTTCCATGGCTTTGTGGAAGGACGCAGGACGGGGTTCTTTCTGGCCAGTGCTGGGCATTGGAAGGGAGATCCGGCCTAGTGCAGTGAATCAGAGAGCTGGAAGAGACCCCGAGGGCCATCCGATCCAACCCTATGGCATGCAGGAAAATACAGTCGAAGCATTACTAACAGAAGGCCATCCAGAGGAGTCTCCACTAGACTCTACTGCTAAACAGCGCTTACCCTCTAATAATAATAATAATAATAATAATAATAATAATAATAATAATTTATTATTATTATTATTATTATTATTATTATTATTATTATTATTATTATTGGCCCACTGGTAGCGCAGCGGGTTCACCCTGCTCTTGAATCCGGAGAGCGGGGTGAGCTACCGGTGTTAGGCCCAGCTTCTACCAACCTAGCAGTTCAAAAACGTGCAAATGTGAGTAGATCAATAGGTACCACTTCTGCGGGGAAGGTAGGACACCTGCTCTTCTGCTTAGAAATGGAGATGAGCACCACCCCACAGAGTCAGACTTTGTTGTTGTTCATTCGTTCAGTCGTTTCGGACTCTTCAGGTCGTCACCACCCCCAGCTCCTTCAAGGTCAATCCAGTCACTTCAAGGATCCCATCCATCCATCTTGCCCTTGGTCATCCCCTCTTCCTTTTTCCTTCCATTTCCCCCAGCATCATTGTCTTCTCTAAGCTTTCCTTTCTTCTCTTGATGTGGCCAAAGTACTTCATCTTGGCCTCTACTATTCTTCCCTCCAATGAGCAGTCAGGCTTTATTTCTTGAAGTATGGATCTTCTCGCTGTCCAACGACCACGTCACAGAGTCAGACTAGACTAGACTTAATGCCAGGGGGAACCTTTAGCTACTTAAAAATATAATTTCAATATTCCTGACCTCACATACTTGGGGGAAAGCACACACTATAAGAGGATTTAAAGATCACACCGCAAAGACTGACACAAGCCAGTCAAGCTCGTCCCAGTGGTGATAGACACACTTGGCGCAGTACCTAAAGACTTTGGTCTGTACTTATAAACAATCTGAGCTCACAAAATTGCCATCTGTCAGCTGCAAAAGGCAACCCTACTTGGATCTGTATTATACATCACACAGTCCTAGACACTTGGGAAGTGTCCGGATGTGTGATCAAATGTAAAAGCCACGATAGTGCTCTTGTTTGCTGTGTACTAATCTTGTTGTGTGTCTTAACAACAACAACACTTTATTTGTACTCTGCTCTATGTCCCTGAGAGGACTCAGGGTGGATTCCAGTATATACAGACACAGGCAAACTTTCAGTGCCTAAAAACAACACAGAGACCTACTCACATTTGCATGTTTTCGAACTGCTAGGTTAGCAGGAGCTGGGGCTAACAGTGGGAGCTCACCCCCATTGTGCTGTGTCTAGTCTCCAGAGCAGCAAAAAGAAAAAAAAAACAATAACAGCTAACCTCCTCCTCAATTCAACATCTTTTCAAAAATGTGAACATTATTCTCATGTCTCTTCTTAACCTTGGAGTCTCCAGGGTAAACATACCTAGCTCTGTAAGGTGCTCCTCTCAGGCCCTGATTTCCAAACTTTTGGCCATTTTGATTGCCCTTCTTTGGACACATTCTAGCTTGTCAACATCGCTCTTGAATTGCAGTGCCCAGAACTGACACACTGTTATTCCAAGTGGGGTCTGATCAAAGTAGAATAGTGTAGGACTATGACTTCTTTGGATCTCCACAGGATACTTCTATTGACACTCCATTGACACAGCCTAGAATCACATTGACTTTGTAATGTGTTGCATCACACTGTTGACTCATGTTCAACTAGGTCCACCAAGGGCCCTTCCAGACAGGCCCCATATCTCAGGCTCTGATCCCAGGTTTTCTGTTTATCCCAGATTATCTAACAGTGTGGACTCATATCATCCAGTTTAAAACAGAAAACCTGGGATCAGATCCTGGGATATAGGCCCTGTCTAGAAGGGTTATAAGACTCCTAGATCCCTTGCACTTGAACTGTTTTCAAGCCAGGTGTTGCCCATCCTATATCTGTGCATTTATTAATTTGTATTTCCAAAGTGTAGTACCATATACATTTCTCCCTGCCTGAAAGCCATTTGGTTAGTTTTGGCCCAGCTCTAAGGTAATCAGAGCTGTAGGACAATGAATCCCAAATTCTGATCTTCCAGATGTTTTGGGCTTTAACCCCCAAAATCCTGGGCCTTAGCCAAGGCTCACAAAATCTGGGATCTACATTCCTGGAAAGCTAGAGCTGGGGAAATAACACTGCTCATTGCTATGGAATTGTGGAAGTTGTAGTTTTACAAGGTCTTTAGCCTTTTTTGCCAAAGAGGGTTGAGACCTCACCCAATTACAACAGCAGTTAAAGTGGAGTCAAATGGCATTAATTCGGGCATGGGCAATCTTTGTTGCGCATCAGCATATTTTACTCAGCACCCAAAGTCCAAATGCAATAGACTCACAGACCAGAGTAAAAATGAACAGAAAAATCTTTACTCTTTACTCAGTAGAGACGAAACATAATGTTGCATACAAAAATAAAACAATGCAAGAAACTTACATAGTCCACAAAACAAGGCATCTTCATCTTACATCAAATGAGAGAGTAAAAATAAACCTTGAGTAAATAGCTATTCCATCACAGCCTCCTTCAGAGTAGCTGCTCCATGCTGCTCCCCAGAGCAAAGCCTTTGAGAATAGATCTCCTCAGAGGAAAAGCTCTCCAGCACCCACACCACACTATTCTAAAAAAACCCCCATACAGATATACCCCATTGGGTGTGGCCCAATCTTGCTGGTTGACCTACATTCCCAGCTGCATAAGATAATTAACACCATAAGGTTTTTCTTAAACACACACACTTGGTCCTGCTATGACTTACCGCAAAAAAGTGAGCCTTCAATGTGTTTTGGACTCCAACTCTCACCTTTCCTAACAGCCTCAGGCCCCTTCCTTTCCCCCCTCAGCCTCTTAAGCTGTAAAGGGCTTGAGGAGGTTAGGAATTGTGGGAGTTGAAGTCCAAAACACCTGGAGGGTCTAAGTTTGCCCACACCTGACTTAGACATTAGAAAGAACTTCTTGGTGTTGAGAGCGGTTGAACGGTGGACCTTCTTTCTGCTTCTGCTTTCACTGTGTATTCCAGTATGGCAAGAGGTTGGACTGAATGGTCTTTGGGATCTCTTGCCACTCTATCTTTCTATGATTTTAAGACGAAGACATACTTTCCAACTTGGGGGCCTCATGCTAACACTCCCTGCTAAGAGGACTGGCTGCTCAGTGATAGAAGGAAGGGAAGGAGGAAGGGAAGAGAGAAGGAAGGACAAAAGGGAAGGAAGGGAAAGATGGAAGGAGAAAGAAGGAGAGGGAAGGAGGAGAAGGAAGGAAAGGAAAAGGAAGGACGAAAGGGAAGAAGGAAGGATGAAGAAGAAAGAGGAAGGGAAGGAGGAAGGGAAGAAAGAAGGAAGGAAAGGATGGAAGGGAAGAGAGGAAGGAGAAAGAGGAGGGGAGGAGGAGAAAAAGGAAGGAAGAAAAGGAAGGAAAGGAGGAAGGAAGGAAGGAAGGAAAAGGAAGGAGAGGAAAGGAAGGAAGGAGAAGGAAAGAAGAAGGAAAGGAAAGGGAGAAGGGAAGGAAGGAAGGAGAAAAAGAAGAAGGAAGAAGGAAAGGAAGAAGGAAGGAAAGACAAAAGGGAAGAAAGTAAGGAGAAAGAGGAGAAGAGGGAAGGAAGAAAGGAAGTGAAAGATGGAAGGAGAAAGGGAGGAAAGAGGGAAGGAAAGGCAAAAGGGTTGAAAGGATGGAAGGAAAAGATGAAGGAAGGAAGGACGAAAGAGTGGAAGGGAATGGAAGGAGGGAGAAAGTGGGAGAGAAGGAAGAGAGAGGGGAAGGAAAGAAAGAAGGAAATACGAAAGGGAAGGAAGAAATGAGGAAGAGGGGAGGAGGAAGGAGGGAGTGCTGATGAGAGTGTTGATGTCTCACCAAAGACAAATCCATAGTTCACAGCATTGAGCCGCGGCAGGTAAACTGATCTCGGTATTCCTTCTACAGTGTAGATGATGTACCTCAGCCGCTTCATACTTCTTACGCTCTCCTTTCCTCAAGGCGTGGGCCTCAAAGTTTCCACAGTCTCCCATTCACATGTGCGTGAATTTTTCTGCCGAATAACATGGCGGTGGATTGGGAAAGCGTGGTCATTAAGATGCCAGCACCCACGGCCATCTACATGGGCTGCTTAATGCAGATGGAAGATATCTCGAGAGTGCAGACGCAAGATGCATTGTTGGGGGCTTTAAATCGGGATAAGCAAAATCGCAGGGCCTGTATTGCGCATCGAGGTGACTCGAGGTCTTATCTAATGCAGTTTCAGAATGTTCAGGGTGGGAGAAAAAAACTCTTGTCTGCTTGAGGCAGGTGTGGATTTTGCAATTGGACACCTTGATTAGCATGAATGACCTTGCAGCTTCAAAGCCTGGTTGCTTCCTGCCTGGGGAATCCAGGTAGGAAACAACCAGAGGTGGAGAGGTCTCCTTTGCTGGGAGGTGTTAGCTGGCCCGGGCAGGAAGAAACCAAGCTGCAAGGCCATTCAATGCTAATCAAGATGGACAATTGCAAACATTCACACTTGCCTCAAATAGACAAAAGTTCTTTCTCCCACCCTGGACGTTCCACAGATATACAAACCTCACTTGCCTAGTTGCCTACAGGCCTCACAACCTCTGAGGATGCCTGCCATAGATGTGGGTGGAACTTCAGGAGAGAATGCTTCTGGACCGTGGCCATACAGCCCGGAAAACTCACAGCAACCCAGTGATTTCGGCCATGAAAGCTTTCGATAACACAGTTCAATATGGCATTCAAAGCACCTCCGACAGATGGTCATCCATCCTCTATTGAAAAGCTTCCAAAGACGGAGCCTCCACCGCACTCCGAGGCAGAGAGTTCCACTGCTGAACAGCTCCCACGGTCAGGAAGTTCTTCCTCATGTTCAGTTGGGAAGGGAGATTCCATCTGCAATTCTGTCTCCATAATGCCGTGGTGTCTCTCCCTGTCCCGCGGAGAAGGCACGACTTGAGTGACTGCAGTTCTTTGGCAGTTCAGTAACGACCCTCTTCTTCCTCCCCTCTMCCCCTTTCTCTTTCTCTTTCTCTTTTCACCGCTCTCAGGTGTGGTTCAAGAACCGCCGGGCGAAATGGAGGCGCCAGAAGCGCTCTTCCTCGGAGGAGTCGGAGAACGCGCAGAAGTGGAACAAATCCTCCAAAGCGTCCCCGGAGAAGAGGCAGGAGGACGGCAAAAGCGACTTGGACTCGGACAGCTGATAAGACAGGGCGGCTCTCTTGGCCTTGGCTTTCGCCCTTRCCTGAGGAGGCCTGGCCCGGCCCGGCTTGGCCTGAGACAAGGACTTGGGAGTTCGGCCTGGGCAGAAGGAAGGCGCTCCCTCTCCCTCTGCGTCTGTATATAGTGTACATGAACACCCCCCCCCCCCCGAAATAAAAAAGTGTCGCGGAAGTGTTTGCACAGGGAGGGATCGTGCCCAAGTTGGATTTCTTTGGCAGCTAATGCAGGCATGGGCAAACTTCATGCTCTCCGGGTGCTTTGGACTTCAATTTCACATCACTTTAACGGTGGGTTAAACCACTGAGCTGCTAAACTTGTTGACCGAAAGGTCACAGGTTCGAATCCGGGGAGCGGCGTGAGCTCTCGCGGTCAGCCCCAGCTTCTGTCAATTTAGCAGTTCGAAAACATGCAAATGTGAGTAGATCAATAGGTACCGCTCCGGCGGGAAGGTAACAGCGCGCTCCATGCAGTCATGCCGGCCACATGACCTTGGAGGTGTCTAGGGACAACGCCGGCTTTTCGGCTTAGAAATGGAGATGAGTACCAACCCCCAGAGTCGGTCACGACTGGACTTAACGTCAAGAGAAAACCTTTATCTAACTGCCATGACATAGCATTGAGCCATAACAGTTAAAGTGTTATCAATCTGGATTCATTCTACAGTGCGGACAGTACCCATGGAGTTGGCCCAATATAGGCTGTTTCTGGATTTGGAGTGATTTTGGAAGTTCCTCCTTGTAAAAGAGGGAAGTATTGTAATTTGCAAAACAAAACAAAACAAAACCCCAAACCCAAAACAAAAAACAAAGTGACTCTCAAGTTCACTTTGCAAGCAAACAAAGTAACCCCCCCCCATAGAATCATAGAATCATAGAGTTGGAAGAGACCTCATGGGCCATCCAGTCCAACCCCCTGCCAAGAAGCAGGAATATTGCATTCAAATCACCCCTGACAAGTCTTCAATTGTGTCTGTGTATCAGAAATGACTGTACTCTTGGGAAATCTTGGCCTTACTAGTTTTTGTACTACAACTATCATACAACCTTATCATTGGACACAATGATAAAGTTGGATTCTCATACAACCTTATCATTGGTTAAACCAGAGATCCTCAAACCTAAGGCCCAAGGGCTGGATAAGGCCCTCCAAGGTCATTTACCTGGCCCTCGCTCAGGGTCAACCTAAGTCTGAAATGACTTGAAAGCACACAACAACAACAACAATCCTATCTCATCAGCCAAAAGCAGGCCCACACTTCCCATTGAAATACTAAAGTTTATATTTGTTAAAATTATTCTTCATTTAATTACTGTATTGTTTTAAAGTATGTTTGCATTACAAATAAGATATGTGCAATGTGCATAGGAATTAATTCATTTTTCCCCAAATTATAATCTGGCCCTCCAGCAGTTTGAAGGACTGTGACCTGGCCCTCTGTTTAAAAAGTGTTATAATTTGCAAAAAATCCAAAGTAATATAATAATAAAAAAACTTTATTTATACCCCTCCACCATCTCTCCAAGGGGATTCGGGGTGGCTAACATGAGGCCAGACCCAACAATTGCAACAAGACAAAACAAGAGTACAAACATAAATAATACATCAAATAAAATATAATAAAATATAACAAAACAAAACAAAACAATACAAAATAAACACAGAATATAAAATAAAATAACAACATTGAGCAGAGTGGGCAGGGCCAATTGCAAAGGATATAATTTTAAAAACCCTTGGTGAGATGAATGAGTAGGGTAATGTATCTGGCAGTGGGGCTTTAGTTTCACTAGAGGGTGAGGTAAAGTGTATTAAAGAGGCATATTGTGCTGAGTTGGTCAAGGTATGGGGATTTGTGTTCATTCCTCAAAGGCACAAGGGAACAGCCAAGTTTTTAGACTCTTCCTAAAGACTGCCAGGGTGGGTGTTTGTCTAATTTCTCAGTAGTGGGGCCACCAGGGAAAAGGCCCTCTCCCTTGTCCCCACAAGTCATGTTTGTGAGGGAGGTGGGGTCCCAAACCATGACATAGCATTTAGGCATAACAGTTAAAGTGCTATCAAACTGCATTCATTCTATAGTGCAGAAAGCACCCATGGAGTTGGCCCAATATAGGTTGTTTCTGGATTTGGAGTGATTTTGGAAGTTCCTCCCTGTAAAAGAGGGAAGTATTGTAATTTGCAACCCCCCCCCCAAAAAAAACCCCTCCAAAGTGACTCAAAAGTTCACTTTGCAAGCAAACAAAGTAACTCCCAATATGCAATTGTTTCTGTGTATCAAAAATGACTGTATTATAAGACCATGACTCTGAATATCAGCATTTGAATATTTACTCAGTAAGTCAAAATCCTGCTGAACAAAACTTGCCAAGAAAATAATAATAATAATAATAATAATAATAATAATAATAATAATAAAGCAAAGCAGACAAAGAGTCAGTACAAGAAAACTGCACTTCAAACCATTGCTGACAGCTGTCACAACAAAGCCTTACATAGGCAGTTCCTTGAGAAGATTGAAGGAAAAGCTGACAAGGAGAAGACCTGGTTATGTCTCATGAATGGAACCCTGAAGAAGGAGATAGAAGGCCTGATTCCTGCAGCCCAGGAGCAAGCCATCAGAACCAATGCAATTAAGGCCAGGATTGAAAAATCAGCGGATGACCCAAAATGCAGACTGTGCAAGGAAGCTGATGAAACCATGGATCATATCCTCAGCTGTTGCAAGAAAATCGCACAGATGGACTACAAACAAAGACACAACTCTGTGGCCCAAATGATTCACTGGAACTTATGTCATAAGTACCACCTGCCAGCAGTAAAGAATTGGTGGGATCATAAACCCGCAAAAGTCATGGAAAATAAACATGCAAAAATACTGTGGGACTTTCGGATCCAGACTGACAAAGTTTTGGAACACAATACACCAGACTTCACGATTGTGGAAAAGAAAAAAAGTCTGGATTATTGATGTCGCCATTCCAGGTGACAGTCACATTGAGGAAAAACAACAGGAAAAACTCCGGCGCTATCAAGACCTCAAAATCGAACTGCAAAGGCTCTGGCATAAACCAGCACAAGCGGTCCCAGTGGTCATTAGCACACGGGTGCCATGCCAAAAGATCTCAGCTGGCATTTGGAAACAATAAATATCAACAGAATCACGATCTGTCAACTGCAAAAGGCCATCTTACTTGGATCTTCGCGCATCATTCGAAAATACATCACACAATCCTAGACGCTTGGGAAGTATTCAACTTGTGATTTTGTGATACGAAATACAGCATATAGATCTCGTTTGCTGTGACATACCATGATTTTGTGTCAATAATAATAAAAATAATAACAATAATAATACTTTATTTATACCCCACCACCATTGCCCCGAAAAGACTCAGGGCAGCTAACATGAGGCCAAGCCCAAGTAATTATAATAAAGCAAAATAAAATGCATACAAAACAGATGATAACATCAAATAAAAGTGCTTAACAGTAACATAGTAATGCAATAAAACAGTGACAATAACATAATGAAACAAAGTATAAAATGATAAAAGAATTAAACAAGGACAAACTGGGCGAAATTCAATGGGGTAAAAATTGAGTGCTGTGTCAAGTGAGGGACTCAGGTGGGATAAACAATGAGGATTAATCTTTACTGAGGGATGAGATAAAATGCATCAGAAAGACAAATTGGTACTGGGATGGGATATGGCATGGGAATTAGTTGTTTATTCCTCAAAAGCACACTGGAAAAACCAAGTTTTTAAACTTTTCCTCCCTGGGGAGCGAGTTCCAGAACCGAGAAGGCCCTCTCCTTCGTCCACACAAGCCACGCTTGTGACGGAGGCGGGAGCGAGAGGAGGGCCTCCCCTGAAGATAGAAGGGATTGCATAGGTTCATAGGAGGAAATGTGAAAGGTAGGTGGGTCCCAAACCATTCAGGGCATTGTAGGTGATTGGGACCACAAAATGAATGGTAGCCAATGGGGCTCCTTAAACAGGGGGCAGATTGCTCCCTGTAATTTGCTCCAGTTAGTAGTCTGGCTAATGATCGCTGGACCAATGGAAATTTCAGGGCAGTCTTCAAGGGCAGCCCCACGCAGAGTGTACTGCAATAGTGTTATGTGGAAGGGCCCTAAGTATATTGGAGATGATGGTTCCCTCTTATCAACTTTCGTCTTTGACATATGCCATATATCACACTTCATTGGCTCATCCATAGAACATCATGATAACCATATATAAGAAACTGGAGCTAATGTGGTCTATCCAATGCAATTTTCTGAATCAGTGCCCAAATAATGCAGGGCCCTTTCACACTGCCATATAACCCAGAATATCAAGACAGATAATCCACAATATCTGCTTTGAACTGGGTTATTTGAGTCCGCACTGCCATATAACCCCTTTCAAAGCAGATAATGTGGGATTTTATACAGCTGTGTGGAAGGGACCTCAGAAACAGGCCTAAAAACCAAAACATCAAAAATTTACTTTTTGGTTGGGCTGTATTTTCAATGTTTCATCCTTCTGCAATACTAGAAATTAGGGGGATGGGGCAAATATAATGATGGGGTTGAATTCTTGCAGGGTTACCAAATGCCGTTCCCTGTAGCCAGCGCCACACTACCTCACCCTGAGTGACTCCTGGATGTTGGCAATTGTAGTCCAATGAAAGTGGCCTTCCTGAGTGAGCACTAAGTCCAAACAACCCAAATAAATTAAGGTGTTTTATTATTTCTGTTATGGACTCACTCTATCTTGAACAAGAAAGATGCAATTCCCACACACGATTGGATCTGTCAAGCATTAGCTCAGGCATGGGCCAACTTCATGTCCTTCGGGTGTTTTGGACTTCAATTCTATAGTGTAGCTATCTGTATCCTAGATCATGGAATATAATATGCAACTTTTGAAGTTTCACTGGGTTCTTCATCACTGATCTAATAAATCAATCAACCTATGCTATAATGCCCAATTAGTATCTGGAATAATCCCATTTAGGATTTGTCCTGATGCTCTGAACAGGGCACATCTTCACCTATAACACTCATTGTTCAAATTGGAGGAGACCATCTCCATCATCAGGGCACACAGGTATTTCTACTGGTTAGTTCATCCACATGTTCACCCATGACCCATTATGTTGTAATGGTTCGGGCATTGGAGTACAGCTCTGGAGATCAGGGTTTAAATCTCCACTGAGCCATGGAAATACACTGTGTGACCATGAGCAAACCACACTCTTGCAGCTTCAGAGGCATCTGGCAAAGGCAAATCCTCT